AGAGAGAGAGAGAGAGAGAGAGAGAGAGGGCCAGAGCATTACATCATCACTTGGACTGGAATCAAATGGGAAGGATATGACTCACTCAGGCTAGTTAAGCTTTGGCTCAAGTTCTACATACGCTCATTCCAGGGCTCTCATGTTCTGCACCTCAGCAGGGAATTCAGGCTCAATGATGTCCATGAGGTTTGTTTTTAATTTTCTTTTCCTTTTCTGATTTCTGTATACTTTTTTTTTTTTTTTGCCCTCTCTCCATCTTCCCGTCTTTCTCCTTCCCTCTTTGATCCCCCTTTTCTGCTCTCCTTTCCACTTCCATAGAGATTGTTTTCTGGTGCATGTAACCTGGACTCTTGGAGCAGAAGCTGGTTTTAAACCAAAGCAAACCCAAACAAGGAGCAGCAAACTTGAGAGAAGTCCCCCCCCCTCGCACCCCATCACTGTGTTGCTGCTAATCAGAGGAGACAGGGAGAGAGTTAAAATGCAGGAACCAATCGCTTGAATGGTGATGTAATGCTGGAACTGCAGGGTTGTTAAGTAATGTGAGAGCAAGGGGGTCAGGGTTGCAAAGCATTTACCTGCTCTCAAGGGGGTTTAAGTTTATTATCAATTGCAGTGACTGTAACTGGCTTCAGACTGCAATCTCTAATTATTCACAGACTCCCCTTTTTTATTCTTTATTATTAAAAGTAAAACTATATTATGGTATTTTAAAAAATGTGATATTATCACAGCTGCAAATTATTTTCCACCAGGGTTTTGATATTTTTTAAATGGTTTGAAATTGGGTGTCTCTTTCACAAAAAGGCCAAGGGAAAAAAAGAAAAGAATGGAGAAAGCAAAGGGGTTGCTCGCTCAGAGTAACGGGCGAATTTGAAACTGTATGAAGAGAGCAGCACAGCTATCTAATAGACCGAATAAAAGGTCTTGCTGTTAAAGATACTCTCAAGAAAATAAATCATTAAAGGAGCCAATTTGTGAAGCTATCTCAAGAAGCCTCAGTGCTTTGTTTCCAGAGCCTGTTGACACCATCCTGACTCTTGGTTGGTCTTTTGCTTTTTTACTTATATTACTAAAGAGAACAAGGTCCTGCGCCCACAGAGAGAATCATGCGCATGGAATACTTCACCCCTCTGTAGCCCCTGAGGATCCATGGGGAAATATGCAGGCTCAGGAATCTTCCTGAAGCAGATTTCATTATAGGGTCAGGCCCTATTGATACACTTTAAGTAACTTTTCTTGAGAATAACAGTATATAGCAAAGCATGGTGTTTTCTCTATAAGATTAGTTTGTATAAGTGTGAGTCTGTTATTATTCTGTTATGCATCAGGTAGGATTTAATATTGAGTAAATACTTGTTTGTACAGTGCTTTTACTAGGTATTATCTGAACGGGAGATACCTGGCATCTGTACGTGTCCTCAAAGTACCCAACAGCTCTGAGTCAGTTTTCTATATCCAAAGCTCTCTGCTATTAAGATACCATTCCTGGAAGTGAATTCCCTTTCAGGGAATTTGCATCCCTGAGTGATGCTAACTGATGCAGCAGCAGATGGAGGACCTGTTTTGCTGAATAAAGATGGACTTAAGCACATGCTTAAGTGCTTTTCTGAATTGGTGCCAGAGTAAGAAAAATATCAAATTAATGTTTTCAGTTACAATCCTGCACCCCCATTACCCTGTTGTGAGTCAAACATAGTTCCTGATCCATTCCTGGACCCTTAATGCTCTCTGAAGTTTCCAGTTGTCATTTGCGCACACAAAACATAAAGGTGGCCACATTTCCATAAATGCCTTGATTTTAACCTCAACAGTCAGCCATGCATAAACAGCAGTCAGACATGTATCCTTTTAAGGGCCAATCTAAGTGCACGGTCATACTGGAATATAGAACATGGAAGGGAATACCTACCAAAGTCCACTAGGTCCCTTGGTATTTCAGGCAAATATGTAATAGACACTAAGGCCAAAAGGGACCTCAGGAACATCCACTATGCTAGCATCCCATCCCCACACTACTACAAAGTACAAACCACCCCTTAATGCCATATGACAATTTTGGATCTTTAGTATTAAAAAAAGCCTGAGATGATAATGTGCCAAAGGGAATGCTTTTCCTATAGTGTGTCATGCAGCTGTACCTTATCATACCAGATTCTGCAGGCCTCTGTTGAGGGCATGTGGACTATAGAAAGAACTGTACTGCTGTGGGATTTCCCACAAGGAATCATGACTGACTCAAGTATTTCTCTTAGAAGTTCTGGAAAGTGCTGCTCTTCTGTCCTTTAGAAGTATCTTGTGTATGGTCTTCCCTTTGCCTACACAGTTCTGGAGGTGGGCTATATCCTTATCTTCACCCTTCCTCTCCCTACTTCTGTATTATCCTAGGTCAGTGGTTTTCAACCTGCGGGGTCTGCAGACTGTCTAAGGGGTCCGCAAAAGATGCCTACAGCCAGGTACAGACATTACACTTTTACCGGTATAAGTGATCAGAAACCAGTATATTCTGGTAACAGAAGTTCAGCACATAAAAGCAGTCTACAGCCTTAACAGAACAGAAGTTTGGCACACATAGACTGGTTTAAAAATGGTAGAACCCAGTCTAACATTTGTATCCCCTGCACCAAGGGCGGATGTGTGTTCTGTTCACCACCACTTTAAATTATGCCACTTACAGAAAATCTCCTAATTTAGATCAATTCAGTCTTGGGCTTTTTGAATGTCTGTAGGCTAGGGCCTATGATCAATCAAAAATATGTGAATCTCCACACTTAAAATTCACATCGATTTGAAATTTCCAAAGGGGTCTGCACCCCCATTTGAGATTTTTAGGGGTCCACAAATGAAAAAAGGTTGAAAGCCACTGTTCTAGGGCAATGCCTGCCTCTCACCAGCCACACTGTTTTGCTCTTGTGCAAAGAAACAGTATAGTAGAGGATGATTTGTAATACTGTCTTTCCCCATCTTAAGCACCATACAGGACTGGCCACAATCCATGTGTCTGCTGAGAGATATATGTAGATAATGTTTTCATGTTATTTCTCTTGTCAAAATAAAATGTGTATGAAAGAAAGTGACCTGGCAGTCCAGGGACAACCATTCCACAGGGGATTTCATGCATCCCAAGCCATTCAGGCCATATAATAGTAAAGAGACAACCAGGGAATACATCATGATACTTTTTAACAATATTCTCTAAATGGTGCAAGTAGCTGTACTGCTAGCCATCACTTCACATAGATGCTTAAGCAATGTGTCTTTAATGTGAGACTAGAAGTTAGATGGAAGGAGTTTAGAAGAACTGGGGACCTGACAAAAACACATTGCATGTTTGAATTCCAAGTAATTTCTTCTGCTAGATAATGTTACTTTTGTATAAAACCATATAACAGTGATATTGAATCTCCTTCTATATATATTCTTTGTAGTTGCCACATTTTTATCTCCTAGCAATAAAGCAATTGGCTCATGGGCGACTGGTGCCTCTTGAGTCTGGGGGCCACCCGCAAACGTCGCTCGTGGCGGTGGCAGCAGGGCCAGAGCTAGCAAGCTCCCACAGACTCTGCCGGCGGTGGTGGTGGCAGTGGCAGGGCCGGAGCTGGCAAGCTCCTGGAGATGCTGCTGCCAGCAGCAGGGGCAGAGCTGGTGAGCATCCGCAGATGCTGTTGGCGGCAGGGATGGGTCAGGGGAGAAGCGTGCCCCTCTGTACTCCCCCTATGTATCACATATGAATTGACTTGATCACACATAACTGCTTTAAATAAGGATTAAACAATACTGGTTAGTGGAAATCTAGAGTCTTCAGTGATAGGTGTATTTGAAATGCAAAATGATATACAGCAGTTTTTTTGTGCTCCATTTTGTGTCCTTCCACTTTAAGATGTCCATCTTGAAACTACCGTGGACCTGATTTTCAAACGTGTCCACACAAAGTCCATGAAACTAGGGATGGTCTGAATCCCTAAAAATCAGGCCCAAGATGTTTCAGATTAGACATTCAAAAAAAGAAAATCCACATGTTAGCCACAGTTACTTGATGCTGGGCAATGCTTTTGTAACAAAACCTGAACCCATTTGAAATCTGTAAGGTTCCATGTTTAATTTTTAAAACAAGTATCTTAAAATTGATGCAAACCTCAATGAGGATTCTGCCAGGGTTTACCCTTCTCCTCCCCATGCCTTCCAAAGGCACTGCCTTTTATTTAAACTGTCTTCTGAGTAAAGTGAATAAGTAACCTGCAAAACCCTGTCATTCAGGCTGTTCTGGGATGGCTTGACTTCTCCAGTGTTCAAGCCGTCCCACAGCATTCTGTGGATGGGGTAGAATGTGTTGATCTTCCGTTCTGCCTAGTCCAAAGAAATTATCTTTAAGGGAACTGCCTAGTTCCTCTGCTCTTAGGGACCACTGACACTCTA